GCGCGGCCCCGCGGCCCCAGCGCGCTCTCGGCCCGCGCGCCATCTTGGCTACGCTCTGAGGGCCGAGCGTGGTCTGGCGGCCGCGGTAAGCGCCGGGTGTCAGCGGTGTCGGGGCCACTGAAGTTGGGGAGAGGGGGCGCCTGCTACGGGTTTGCAGCGCACAGAACGCTGGGAGCGGCCCGTGGCGGGGGATTGGCTGAGACCCGCCACCGAGGCCCAGGCAGTCCTCCGCCCCGGCCTCCGCTCCCCAGACCTCAGTGGGCCATCGGAGGCCCACCCCGGCCTAGGCACCCCGGGCGCTGAACAGTGAGGGAGGGCTCTATATGTATCTTGAGGTGGAGGGGGTGGGCCCTGCTCTGTCCTTAGAGACCCTAGTCTTGTTAAAGTCCTAGGGTGATAAGAACGGCCAGAATGAGTTCCCAGATTCGGGGCGATCGGGGTCCAGCCGTGTCCCCCAGAGGCCTGGTATCTGGGGAACTAGGTCCGGTCTCCGGACTGGGTCACACTGCACAACTTGGTGGGAGGTAGAGGATGGTAGAGGATGGTGGAGGGAGGTGGAGATGGCGGAGGGTGGCCTGGAGCACATTCCTAGCACTCATCTGTTGCTTTCCTTAAGTGAGTAGGCAGATTGCTTCGAGCGGCCACTGCCAGCAGGATGGAACACTACCGGAAAGCTGGCTCTGTAGAACTTCCGGCACCTTCCCCAATGCCCCAGCTACCCCCTGACACCCTGGAGATGCGGGTCCGAGATGGCAGCAAAATTCGAAATCTGCTGGGGCTGGCCCTGGGTCGGTTGGAGGGTGGCAGCGCAAGGCACGTGGTGTTCTCAGGTTCCGGCCGGGCTGCTGGGAAGGCTGTCAGCTGTGCCGAGATTGTCAAGCGGCGGGTCCCAGGTCTGCACCAGCTCACCAAACTGCGTTTCCTACAGACGGAGGACAGCTGGGTCCCAACTTCACCTGATACAGGCCTCGACCCCCTCACAGTGCGCCGCCATGTGCCTGCAGTGTGGGTACTGCTCAGCCGGGACCCCTTGGACCCCAGTGAATGTGGCTACCAGCCCCCAGGAGCACCCCCTGGCCTGGGCTCTATACCCAGCTCCAGCTTTGGTACCCGGTCCCGAAGGAGGGCTCGAGACACTCGGTCCTGAAGATCTACAGAGACAGGATGTTCTCTAGACCTGAGTATCTGTGATGGATGTGCCTTACCTGAGAACTACTTGTGATTCAACATCCCCAGCAAGGCTAGTTCCACAGAACTTTGGCTCTTTCCCTCTGGAATGTAGAAAGGTTCTGCCATGAAGAATGACAGGTGTGGAGTCTCTTCCGAGTTCTGGATTGTTTGAGAAGGGCTTACCCTCCCTCTAACTACAGTACATCTGATCTTCCTTGTGATAGAGGTCCAGGGAGGGAAATAAAATTCAGTTCATTTGTCAGATGAGCTTTTGCTCAGCCTGCTGTGTGGAAGTGTAATGAAAAGATTGGGAATCTCACCAGGCACTGGTGGCTCACGCCTGTAATCCTAGCTACTCCAGAAGCTGAGATCTCAGGATTTCTATTCAAAGCCAGCCGGGGTAGGAAAGTCTGTGAGACTCATATCTCCAATTAACCACCAGAAAATAGGAAGTGGCACTGTGACTCAAAGTGGTAGAATGCTAGCCTTGAGAGAAAAAGCTCAGGGACAGTGCCCAGGCCCTGAGTTCAAGCCCTGTGTCTGACCAAATGAAAAACAATGGGAGTTCTCTCCCAATGAGAAATCATGAGCTGGAAAGAGAGAAAGGGTAGGCTTAGGACAGTCCTAGGAGGATTTGATGTCAAGAAGGAACCTTAAGCGGTCTTTAACTAGGCCTCTGGCTGTTGGCCACCTCCTTTGGGTTGGTTTCGGGACTCTGCAGGTCAGATAATTTTTCCCCATCTCTGGCATTTTGTTATAGTATAGTATAGTAAGATATTGGACTCTGACACTAGCCTTCCTGGATTTGAGTTCTGGTTCGGCCACAAGTTCCTCCCTTGTGACTTTGGCCAAGTTACTGTTTAGGCCTTAGTGCTCTCATCCTTTATAGTTTATTTCATAGTGTTCTTAGGATTAAAGTGGTGTGCATATTTGATGCTTGATACTACTTGGACATGTAGAACTATGTAAGTGTTGTTTCTAAATTACTTTTACATATAAATTACTTATTTTATAAACATGCTTGTTTGTGAGACAAGGTCTGCCTGGCACAGACCCTTGAAGTCATGATCCTCCTGCATTAGCCTCCCAGGGCCTGGAATTACAGATGTGCATCCACACCTGGCTTCAAGCATGCTTTTTTTTTTTTTTTAAGTTTTTTAATTATACAGTGGGTTCTGATATTTCTATAATGCTCACTATTATTACTCCTCTAATCCCCATTTTTAAAGCTCTTAAGTGTTACCTTCTGTTTTCACAAATGCGTATACTTTGATTGTATCCACTGCCCGCTTGCCCTCTTACCCCTCACCATGGTTTTACTGCCAAACAGTTCCCCTTTTACATTCACAAATGTGCTTTTTCTTATGTTAAAAAATATGCTTTCAGGGGGCTGAGAAGGTGGCTCAGTGGTAGAGCGCTTGCCTTGCATCCATGAGGCCCTGGGTTCGATTCCTCAGCACCACATAAGCAATAAAAGCTGGAAGTGGTGCTGTGGCTCAAGTGGTAGAGCACTAGCCTTGAGCTGAAGAGCTGAGGGACAGTGCCCAGACCCAGAGTTCAGGCACCATGACTGGCAAAAAAAAAAAAAAAATATGCTTTCAGTCAGAGGTGTGGCTCAAGTGGTAAAGCTCTTGCCCACCAAGTGCTAAATTCAAATGTTAGTACTGAAATAAAAATAAAACCTTATTGTAATTATCTGTGGTTCACACCCATAATCCTAGCTACTGGGGAGGTTGAGGTCTATAGAATCACAGATCCACGCCAGCCTGGGCCACAAGATTTCAAGTCCCCTCATCTCAACCAGTAGCCGGGCACAGTGATGGACACTGGTTGAGATTAGAGGATGGTGGTTCTAGACCAGTCCAGACAAAAAAGACTCCATCTCAAAAACCTGGGCATAGTGGCAGTTGTCTAACATCTCAACTATGGCAGGAGGGTCACCACGCTGGCCTGGGCATAAAGCAAAGCCCTTCTCAAGGAAATAACCAGAACAAGAAGTGCTGGAGGTAGGATTTAAATGATAGAACTGCCTAGCAAGCACAAATCCTCAGTTTGAACCCTAGTACAGTTAGAAAACAACAAAAATGAACCTGAATTTCATATTTTTCTAAGGTCTCATCTTTGGCTTTTTAACCCTTGCTGGTCTTTTCGCCCTGGACTCAAATTCATCGTGATGAGGTTGAGTGGTGAGAGTTGATTGTTTTAGTAGCCAGCTTCTATAGACACTAGGGCAGGATTGTAAGCAGTGGCTCTGAATTGAGGATCGAATCAGTTGGGACTCCCAGGGTTCTCAAGAGTTCAGTAAGTTCAGTACCAGGGTGTTCAGTCATGAGAAAAACAGAAAATTAGGGTTCTTCTGGGTTCACAAAGCGGAACCAACAATTTGAGGATGTTGAAGTGGTGGTTTCTTGAGAGAAACCAAGAGACAGAG